GGGAGGGGGGAGGGGGGACTAGGACACAGACACAATGAAATGGAGTTGACAGAAGAAGAAATTAAATAAAGGAAAAACAAATACCTAACAGTCGGAAACAACATCAGCCCAGTACAGCAGAGGAAGCTCTTCACCAACGCCGTCCAAAGCAGCTATGGAGACACATTAACACAAAAGGTCTGGGATGCGCGGGAAAGAACCACAGTAGTACTCCAAGAGCAGTTTCTAATGAATGAATTCACTTCCACAGTGCTGGGAACTGAACTTATGGCCCCATACACATGAAGCAAGCAAGCACGCTACTACTAAACCACGTTGCCTAAGTTGCCCAGGCTGATCTTGAACTTACTGTAATGCCCAGGGAGGCTTTCAATTCACCATCCTCCTGCCTCAAGCTCTCAGGTAGGAATAACAAGGCTGCTTCACCAGGCTAGACTTGGTCTCAGGGGCCATTTTAAACATCAATGAGCTGCCAAAGCAAGGAGGCAGCCGGAGAGCCCTTCTCAGCCTGAGGGAGGCTGTCCGCTTGCTGGTGAACAGCTAAGCTGAGGAACCAAGGAGGAGAGCATGTCTTCTGCTGTAAGGACCTCTCACTCACTATGTGGATGATGACCACCTCAAACTCCTGGTCCACCTGCCTTTACCTCCCATGTTGGGGTTACAGGCATGTGCCAAAATATCCCCAGCTCTGAGATCTTCTAAATCAATACAAGTATCTTTGTGAAAAGCTAGAACAATCCTAACAGAAGTGCTGGGGTGAGAGTCTGGAGATGACTTAGTTAGTGGTTAAGAGTCCGGCGCTGCACTTCACCTCTGACCTAAGTTTGATTCCCAACACCCATGTCTGGTGGGTTCACCACTGACTGTGACTCCAGTTCTAGGGGATCTGATTTCTTTTTCTCACCTTTCTGGACGGACAGACGGACAGGGACACACACACACACACACACACACACACACACACACTAAAAATTAAATACATTTTTAAAAGAGAGAAAAAACGTTGCGATGAAGAATTCAGATACAACACGGCAGAATGAACACTCTCATTTATGCCCACTCCTTTCCAAAATGCCTACTACAGGACAAGGGATCAACTTAATTCAGGGGACAGAAAGAGCAGACAAGAGCTGACTCTACAAAATATACAAACAGGACTGATGTATTAACCTGGACAAAAGCAAAAAGTTGTCTAAGAAGGGGCACGTAATCACAGTAAACCACACGCTTAGCTGTGCTGGCTACATATTTACAAATACCTCGCTAACAACTCTCTCTCTCTCTCTCTCTCTCTCTCTCACACACACACACACACACACACACACACACACACACACACCCCTCCCTAACACTAAGCTTAGTCTAGGTTATGTGTAGGGAGATGTCAACGGGGAAGGGAAGGGGTGTGGTAAGTCTGTGGTCAGGGAGGAAAGGGGACAGACACCGATCTCTGTCTGTTTCCCTGCACAGAGGTCTGACCTTGGCTTTGCTCTATCACTGAGCTGTATCTCTAGCTCATGGTTTTTGTTTTTTTTAAACACTTTATTTTTGAAACAGGGTCTTGGTAAACTGCCCACATTAGCCTTGAACTTGTAATCCTCCTGCCTCAGCCTCCTGGGTATCTGGAATTCCAGGTTTGTATCACCAGACTGAAACTAATCTTTTACAGAAGGAAATGAATAAATAATACTTCAAGTTGTTTAAAGCTGAGGAAAAGTAAAACAATAACTACTTAGAATACAGAGTAATTATCAAAAACAATAAAAAAGACTGGAAGACATTTGTCCCTACAGAAAAAGAGGCGGGGCACTGTGCATCTTGCTGGAAGCCTGTAATATCCAACTATTTAAAAGAGATAAATTAATTTCATTTAAGAATAAAACTTGCCGGACGGTGGTGGTGCACGCCTTTAATCCCAGCACTCGGGAGGCAGAGCCAGGAGGATCCCTGTGAGTTCGAGGCCAGCCTGGTCTCCAAAGCGAGTTCCAGGAAAGGCGCAAAGCTACACAGAGAAACCCTGTCTCGAAAAACCAAAAAAAAAAAAAAAAAGAATAAAACTTGATGAGTATGTATCTCAGTCCAGGGCACTTGCAGGGCACGTCCCATGACTTCAGTTTCACCCTTACTTAGCATTACCATAAATAAAAGAAGGAGGAGGAAGGGACATAACCCCAGCCCTCGGGACTGAAGGAGGACGGTGAGTGTGAGACAAGCCTGGGACACAGCAAGATCCTGTGCCAACACGAACAGGAAAAGGAACTGAAAACGGAAGGGCCCCAGACGCAGGTGAGAGTGAGCACACTCTGGACAGGGTCAGCAGATCGGAATGACAAGGTCACTAAGCGTGGAGACAAGCTGCCAGGAGATCTAGGAAAGATCCCTCCAGTGTATAGAACAACCACTGATTCTGATCCAACAATTTCACCTTAGAGGTGTTTGCTGAGGAAACGCTTTCTGTTCAGCTCTGCCGATATCTGTACATGTCCTCAACGTGAGGCACAAAAGAGACAGCATTAATAAGAGTTCCCGAGAGCCCGTCAGAGCCAGCAGTCCAATCGGACACAGAGGCGACAAGCTAAGGACAACACAGGGAAGTTCTTAAACTGCAACTCGGGAGCTGGAGAGACGGTGAAGGTGTCTGTCTGTCTGTCTGCTGTACAGACCTGGGGAGACGGCTCCGTGGTAAAGGTGTCTGTCTGTCTGTCTGCTGTACAGACCTGGTGACCTGGATTTGGGCTTTGAAACCCACATAGAGGCAGAAGGAGAGAACCAACTCCATGAAGCTGACCTCTGACCTCCACATGTGTGCTGAAGTATATGCATCCACTATACAAATAGTAACAATAAATTACGTCTAGGAGAATGCAATCCAGACAAGGGAAATGGACTGTCTAGAACGTCTGTCATTCAGCAAACTCCTGTGGAGAGAGAGTACGTGCCACAGCAAGTCAGTGGTCTCTAGGCAGAGCAACAGAGACTCACAAAGGCAGGCCACTGTTGGCCTTGTCCAGCGCTGCCACCTTGGTGTCCCAACAGCTCCTAGAACACTGTCATTCCTCAATAAGTATGTATTGTTGGCCTTTTCTCTTAAAGCTATCTGGACCTATTAGATATAGATATCTAGATATCTATATCTATATCTCTCTATCTATCTAGATATATCTGTCTAGAGCTCAAAGATGAGAGACCGGATGAGCAGATGAAGTGTCCTGCACAAAGCCTCCCATTTTCTTGTCGCTCCAAAGACAGTCACACTTGGCCAAGAGAGAACGATTTAGAGAGGAGTCAGAACACACGCGGTTTGAAAAATCAGTTCTTGGGGCCATGCCAGAAGGAGAGTTAAGCTGCTGGCCCCTTCTGGAAGTGTGCTAACTGAGGCACAGGGAGGTTTTCTTCTGGACTTCAGATACTTTTCAGCATGGCTCAGTAGGCCACTGGTGGCCAGAGCATGCAGCTCTCTCCGGGTAGGAGCTGAGAGCTACCAGGGACCATGTCCTCATTTCTTATGCTGTTTAAAGTGAGTGTTCAGGACTCTTCATCAAGATGTGTCCACCTCTTTCACAGACACCCTGACATTTAATATAAGATAGTTCGGGTTTTACTCCTTAAATGAGACTATAATCTTCATCAAGATGTAGCTGTCTCTTTAAAGAAAGCATGACACTTAATATCAGGGAGAGTCTGGGTTTTATTTAAAGGAGCAGCAGTTAGCTTGAATGTTGGGGTTTAAAAGTGGTTTTCCAGGATAATTTGGACAGGTCACCTTCTTGCCATATAGTGATTGTACAAATTTATCACC